AACGTTGCTGTTTGAATGCGCTATCTGTCAAAAATAGTAGACATATATCAAAAGATGACATAATGAAATGAATATTTTTCATCAATATTAATGCAACATAATTTTCATAAATATTAATGCAAAATTACAATTCTTACCTGATGGCTTTTTTGTTTTAGGTAATGAACTACTATCACTCATCGGTGTCATAATTCTTCAATAAAAGTAAAACGATAAAGTTCTATATTTCGATATCTTCGTCTTCTTCCCTTAAATAATTATAAGTAACATTAGTTTGACAATTCTACACACTCAATTATCATCATTTGTAAACTAAAGAATCATGAAGTTCAGAGTTTCTAGAATCGACAAATGCTTTCTAGCTAGTGAATAATTAAAAAACTCTAAACGAATGTTAACTATAGGGAATTTTTTATTAATAATTGGTAATAATTGCAATAAATTTTTCATTAATTTGTGACACATGACAAATATAAAAAAGAGACAGCGTAGTAGACATAGATGATAAATATTCAAAAGTAATATGTGTTTGTAATTTTTATGAAATGCAAGAAACTATAACCTCATAAAAAGAAATATACATATATAATAAGAAATATATATATATATATATATATATATATATAATATGTATACAAATATATATACATAAATAGTACCTTTCGAAGAATAATACTATGTGAACACTATATAAAATAATTTGGATAGTTCACTAATATTTCTGATAAAAATGGATATACTTTATCTTTAATGATAAACAAAATCTAAGAAATTTATCTTTATTACACTGCGCATGTCATTTAATAGAATCCGTGACTTGTAACATCGTCATTGTAATTTCATAAAAATCTATTTAAATATTTGTTTATAATTTAATATACATATATAAAATGGCTTTAAGTGAGAATGATCCAAATTCATTTTCTAGACCAGGTATTTCATATTTGCATTTTATCATTAATTATATAGTATATTATAATAAATATGTTTGATGTATATCATTATAAAAATTGTATAAAATATAAAAATTAATATTTACACATATATAATATTTTTATTAGCAATTATTATAAATAAATATTTACAGATTTAGCAGTTGTAACCCATATTCATCTAGAGTTAAATGTTGATTTTGATAGAAAAGTTTTGTCAGGTAAAGCAATTCTGGACATAGAAAAAAAAGGAGCTACGAATACAGTGGTAAGAAATTAATCGAATTATCCCTTTCTATTACTTTTCTATCTTTTATGTCATATTATGTACATATATATATATATATATATATATATATATAATATATAATAATATATAATATATAATATATAATATATAATATATAAAATATTAATTGTACCATATTAAATGTTTAGATTTTAGATAATCGTAATCTTATTATATTATCAGTTATTAATGTTGATAATGGATCTACTTTGAATTATAAAGTAGAAAGTGATATTGGATATGGTTCTAAGTTTATTATTGAATTACCAACACCTGTAAATTCAACTAATGAAAATGATACAAGGTAATAATTAAATTATTTGTTTATAGTTTTATTAATAATTAAAAAATTTCATCTTCAGATATAAAATTGAAATTAACTATGAGACAGCATCAGATGCAACTGGTTTACAATGGTTGACACCAGAACAAACAACTGGAGGAAAACATCCTTATCTATTTTCTCAGTGTGAGGTAAATATTTTATTTATATCTTAATTATTATAGAAAAAATATTTTTATTATACATATATAAACATATTAAATTATGTTGTAAAGGCTATACATGCTAGATCTGTGCTTCCTTGTCAAGATACTCCATCTGTCAAATTCACTTATTCTGCTAAGGTAAACAGATATTTAATATAATATAATATGAAAGTATGAATCTATTTAACAAATGCAGTAAATCATTTAGATATCAGCACCACAAGAGATGACAGTATTAATGTCTGCTTTATTAGATGATGTTACAAATAATGAAACAACGAAAATATACAGATTTCACCAACCTATTCCAGTACCATCGTACTTAATAGCTATTGCAGTTGGTGTATTAGCATCTAAAAAGATTGGTCCTAGAAGTACTGTCTGGGCTGAACAAGAATATATAGATCGCAGTGCATATGAATTTGCTGAAACTGAGACTATGTTACAAATTGCCGAACAAATATGTGGACCCTATGTGTGGGGTATAGTATTATTTTGTAAAAAATATATATTTTTAGTAATTGATTATTTTCATATAATATTATCTTCTATAGGTGTATATGACTTATTAGTGCTCCCACCAAGCTTTCCATTTGGGGGAATGGAAAATCCATGTCTAACATTTGTAACACCAACTCTTCTTGCTGGAGATCGTTCTCTAGCTAATGTAGTAGCTCATGAAATTGCACATAGTTGGACTGGGAATTTAGTAACTAATGCAAATTTTGAACATTTTTGGTTGAATGAAGGTTTCACAATGTTTGTTGAGAGAAAAATAAATGGAAGGATGTTTGGTGAAAAATATAGGCAATTCAGTGCAATAAATGGACTTAAATCTTTGGAAGAATGTGTAAGTAAACTAAAATATTGATATATTACTTTATATATGTTTGTTCAGAAAATATTAAATAAAAGATATGAATACCATTTGTTATATAGAGATTTTTTTACAGATTGAAACACTTGGAAAATCAAATCAGATAACAAATTTAATTCCAAGCTTAATAGGGATCAATCCTGATGATTCATTTTCAGTTGTACCTTATGAAAAAGGTCATACACTTTTATTTTATTTAGAGCAACTATTGGGTGGTTCAGACGTATTTGAACCCTTTTTAAAATCATATTTAAGTACATATGAATATAAAAGTATAGTTACTAATACTTGGAAGGAATATTTATACAAGTATTTTCCAAATAAGATTGAGGTAACAACATTATTGCACATTGCATTAAAAATAAAAAAATATTAAACACGAAATTTTTATTTTAGCTATTAGATTCGGTGGATTGGAATGCATGGTTTAATACACCTGGCATGCCACCAGTTATACCGAATTATGATAAAAGTTTAGCTATTGCCTGCACTGAATTAGCACAAAAATGGATTTCATGGGATGAAACTACTACATCACCTTTTGACAAAAATGACATACAAAATTTAACTGCAATTCAAAAGATAACATTTTTAGCTGAGTTACGTGCATCATCTACTATTTTGTCATTACAAAAACTTGAAACTATGCAAGATACATATGATTTTAATTCTATAAAGAATGCTGAAATAAGGTAAATTAAGTATAAAATTAATTAAGTGCGAAATAATAGATGTATTTTTTTTATTAATATGTTTGTACATCCAGATTTTTATGGCTACGTTTGTGTATAAAAAGTCGTTGGGCATCAAAAGTATCAGATGCTTTAGATTTTGCTACAGAACAAGGGCGATTGAAATTTGTTCGCCCGATATTTCGTGATCTTTACAAATGGAAGGAAATGCGTCAGACTGCGATTGATACATATTTAAAAAATAAAAATAAAATGATGTATGTTACTGCACATATGGTAGCTAAAGATCTTCATCTTAATGACTGCAAATTTATGTAATTTCTTCAATAATGTATTTTTATAATAAATAATTGGCTTTTCATATTCTGTGAGAATATGAATCTTCTTTAAAAATATATAGTTTTTCTTTTTTTCATTATCTCGATTAATTTCAATGGATACAATCATTACTTCATTCAATATATACATAATAATACATATATATATATATATATATATATATATATATATATAAACATCATTGTTAACGTATATTAACATTTATTAATCACTATTATTTTATAAAAATTAGTCCCGAGTAGATTTTATGCGCATGCGTATTAACATGATGTTTTCGAGCGCATGCGCGTGAATTACAAAATGTTATGGATGTATAAGAAAGTAGAATATTCGGTTTCCGATTAATATTAATTTGTGTAAAGTACGTTTTATAAATATATACGTAATTTATAAATCATTAAAAATTTATTAATAAATAAATAAATAATTATGGCCGGAGGAAAAAATGAACAAGGTGGATTTCAACCGGTAAGTGAATTATTAAAGGTGTCTTATTACAGTATTAGAAAGGTTAATTTATTTCTTTACGTTTACAGGATTCTGATGTTCATATTACTTATGATGATCAACAGAAAATCAACAGATTTGCAAAACAAAATGCTAAATTGGAAGATTATAAAGAAGAACTTAAATTTAAACAAGTGATTACAAAAAAAATATCTATTCTTAGATAGTTTTGCTAATTCATAGCCTTATTTGGTCATACGTTGTTCAATTTCATGTAAAATTGGCGAAACTGAATTACTTTTTTATATTCACAGAATGAATTGAAAAATTTAGAAGATGCTTGTGATGAATTGACTCTTGCAGACGATGACGTTAAGATACCATATTCTATTGGAGAAGTTTTTGTTTATCAAGATATTGAAAAAACACAGGTGTTTATAATCCATAAATGGAAACAAAATTATAATTTAAAAATATATATTTTAATACTATATGTTACATTTATTTATAATTACAGAATTGTTTAGAAAATGCTAAAGAAAAAAAGAAAGCAGAAATAGCAAGTTTGGAAAGTAAATGCGATGAATTAAAGTCATTGATGAATGAATTGAAGACTCAGTTATATGCAAAGTTTAGCAATCATATAAACTTAGAAAGGGAAGAAGACTGAGTTATTTAAAATAGTTCTTAATAAAGAGAAAGTTTGTATTAACAATCATTTGACATATAAAACTATTTCTATTCTGGCTATAACAGTCGACTACTGATTTCAAAAAGTTATTGTCATTTAATACATGAAAAAAATAATACACAAATATCTTTAATATGCGTTTTTTCTTATTATACACACACACACACATACATATATATATATATGTATGTATATTATACATTTTTTATTATAATTATATTAGTTTTATCTTGGCTTGAGAAATTTAACTCCATTGAGAAAAAAAAAGTTTAAAGAAAATTATTTTCAACATTTGATTATTTTTTTATTTCTATAACATTTAAAAATAATACAGGGGAATGTAAAAGATAAATGATTGTGTGCTAAATACTGCTGCAAATTTGGATTATAGCCAAGTTCTTTGTACTTAGTACATTCACATTCATGTTACAATATAAGCAATCTATTTCCTATAGAGAATTTTCTATAAATACTCCCATGAATTTATTTTTCAAGAATAAAATAAATATACATAATATTAATCATTTATTTTTGTTTGTTTTTTTCATAAATAATTAAAAATATTAAATCTTTATATATCTCTATCTATTATATTTCAAGCTAATTTTAAATGGTTTGAATACTAGAAACAATTTCTTCCTATTTTCAGCACTTAAATGTGTAAGATATCACAAAAATATAATAATATAATATTGTTATGTTTGTTTTTTATTACGTGTAGGTCATATATAGTGCTACTTAAAAATCCAAACTTATATCTTTAATTATACATACAAAATATGTAGTGTATTATTGATATAATAAATTCCTAATGGATTAAATTACGCTAAGAGTGTACTTGTTTTGATTGTGTAGTTAAACAGTCTTTAGTTCCCTCTTTCATTTTCCTAGAGGTAATTTTAGTCTCATCTCATAGTCTTAATCTTAGTACATGTACTACTTTGGCCAATGCAATAGCCTGTAATTTTTTAAGTAACCAACTTCTAATACAATATATATTTATTGCAAGTATAGAAATTTGTTGAATAGTACAGTGATGTTAATATAAACAAAGGAATTGAACAGTAGTGTGAATGTTAATATTTAATTTGAATAATTTATTTTTAAAATATATGATTTTATATATTTTTTACTCATTGTAATTCCAATATTATTTGCAGCTTTGCAGAAGTTATATATAATTTTATTTCAAAGTAAATTGTTATTATTTTTATAATATCTTATGATTATAATATGGATTTAGCAAAAGAGTTAATATTGAATCTTAAACAAAAGAATGTTTCACATGTGGGATACGGTTTACAAAAGGAATGTGAAGCTCTTGTTGGACATATTTTACAAAATATGGTAAAATCTCAATTGCCACCATTAAATGTTGAAAGAAAAAATACAGAGGATGCAGTCAGATATAGAGAAGAAGGTAAATAAAAACTTTCTTACCTAATATATTTTTATTTTATACGAGTACAAATTTTTTTTTTTTTTTTTTTTTTTTAATATAGGAAATCAACATTTTGTTGTGGGCGATGACATTGATGCTATAGAGAGTTATACTAAAAGTTTAGCATATGCTAATAATAAAGAGTTAATGGCATATGCACATGCGAATAGATCTGCAGCTTTGTTCAGAAAAGAAATGTATAAAGAATGTTTGATAGATATTGATGCTGCTTTATTATATGGGTATCCAGAAAATAAAAGAACAAAACTTATGGAAAGAGGAGCCAAAGCAATCGATGAACTTAAGAAAATTTTACAAATATCCGAGAATAAACATACTAACATTGAAAAAATTATAGATCAAATTTGTTTAAATCAAAATGTAAAAGAAGACATTACAAAAACAGATACTAATGATATACATATTAATGATAAAAATAAAGAAAGAAATTTATTGCTTGATAATCATGAAAAACGATTTTTTAATATCAGTCATTTTCCTATCAAATGTACAACACAAAAACCAAGATATTTAGAGAAAGAAGGTTCTTTATCTCTTGCTTATGGTCAAAATAAGGAGTGTCCTGCTGCTAGCGATGGTATCAAAATTGTTTTTTCTAAAGAATTTGGACGTCACCTTATAGCTACAAAAAATTTGAGTCCAGGAGATATAGTTACCATTGAAAATCCGTATGCACATGTCATCTATGAGGACAGGTATAATGACGTTTTAATAATTAAATTTATTTTTAAATATTTTTAATATTGTAGATTCTACACCCATTGTCATCAATGTCTTTCAAGATGTTATAATTTAATACCGTGTTCAAATTGTCCAATTGCACAATATTGTTCAGAAGAATGTAAAAAGATAGCTTGGGATATGGCTCATGTGACAGAATGTCCAATTTTGGTACTATTAAAAAATTTATTGAACGTTGATAAAGACAAGATAAGAATGCTTACTAAAATTATCAGACTGTTAATTATTGTAACAGAAAATGGTTCCAAGATAAAGGAATTACAAGAAGATATGAAAATTGCAGAATTCAATCCTGGTATTTTTATATTTTTAATATTTGATACATTACACAATTAGCATAACATACTTAAATGTAATTTTTTACCTTTAGATAATAGGACAGCAGGTTTTTCAGATGAGGGTGTATTTTATAGTTTTAGTGCTCGATCTGCTTTAAGTCTTGCAACAAATATGATTACTAGACCATTAATAGGTATCAGTGCATTTGCATGTATTTCAGCACTTGCTACTATTCTTCTAGCTACACAGACTAATTTCTTTGGCAAAAAATATGAAATAGATTATTTGGAAGATATAAGAGAATTTTCTAATTTAAAATTTTGTGGTAGTATTATGTTTCGGGCATGTGTTATTATGTCTTCTAATTGTTTTTCAGTAAGTTTCATAAATATGTAAAATGTACGTGGTACTTTATTGTTACTTTATTCTTTGTTTTACTTTTGTTAGGTACAACAAGAGCCAGGAGTAAAATCTGGATCAGGTTTATATGTAACACACAGTTTGTACAATCATTCATGTAGTCCAAATACGTTTAGACATTTTGAAGGACTGACTATGATTACTCGTGCGTTACATCCAATTTTAACAGGAGATCAAATTTTTACAAGTTATGGCCCTGAATATGCATATATGTCACGTTTAGAAAGGAAAGAAAAAATAATGCAGGATTATTTTTTTGATTGTCAATGTTCTGCATGTGTATTTAATTGGCCCATTTATACTGAAATACTACATAATCACGTGGGTTCGATTACCCAAAATAAGCAACTCGTAGAAAAATTAAAACCCTTTAAACAAAGATTGCTTAAGAATATCTATGATATCGATGCAGTAAAAAACGTTCTTAATATTTTATATAAAGAAGTATCTCAACCATGTGAGGAGATAGTTCATGCAGAACAATATCTAAAAAGTTACTATTTAGGTAAATTTAAGTGATTTAAATTATTTTAAACGAAATGATAATTGCTTGGCTTGCTTATATATAATGGCTTATTTATATGCTTCGTAAAAACTGCTGCTTTATTTTCCTTTATCCATCTAGCATCTTATAAATTAGCCTTAATAAAGTTGCTTTTCTTGCATTAACAATTATTGATTTTTTAAGTTTTTTCTACTGCTTTATTTATAAACATATGAAAGGAATTAATGCGATTAATAATATAAACAATGCACTTGTGTATTATATATTATATATTTTGTTTTTTAGATCCGTAATACATGGGTTTATATATTAAGCAGTACATTTAATAAAAGACATGAGTGTTTTTAAAAATTTTTTATTTAAGTTATATGTATATTTTGCTAGATGACACTAAATACATGCACATCATTTTTACATCAACTTGAAGAAATGTGTATATATATATATATATACACACACATATGTATATACATACATATATATATATATATATATACATATATATATATATATACATATATATATATATATACATACACACATTTATTTATTTATCAATCAGTGTCAATATGAAGGAATTACAGTAAACTAATGTGTACATGTAACTATATCATTGAACATTATAAGTCTGTAATGATACTTTACCTTTTAAGAAAGTAAGTATATTTTATTCCTATTAATAATAAGAAAGAAATCTATATTATTAATATATGAAAAAAAATATTCGTTAACGGAAAGAAATGCACTATATTGTCACATTTAAAAGTAAGATGAAACTATTTTTAGCAGGACTTGAGAAATTCATATTTAATAATTCATTATGATAGTGTAAAGTTTATAAATTATATAAAAAAAATCATTGAAGAATATATATATACATAAAAATTGATTTAGTTGTATATAAGATTCTATATATTATTTTTAAAATGTAACTGTCTTCTTATTAATGAAAAATATTTTTACATTATTTGTATGAAGTAAAAGAAATAAATTTTGATATTACTGCTACTCCTAGAAAACAATAAAAGGCCGATTAAGTTTATAATATCATTATATTCCATAATATAAGTCATTATGTGTAATTGAACAAATTAATATCGCGTTTATATTAAATTAAAATCATATCATATCATACCATAGTAATTTTTATACTGAGTTTATGATGAAATCATATAGTAGCAGTACACATACCATCTCTGATTATTTATATCAGAGAATGAGACATTTACAATTAAAAAATTTTCATACTGCTATTACACCGAGTCCCTATTAAATGTAAGTTCAAATATAAAGATTCAATAAGATATTCAATTTTTCTACATTATTCAACAAAAGTTTTCAATAATGTAAAGGAATTACATACACGTGATTAAAAGTAATATGATCATTTAGAATAATTTAGGCAAACTTTGAGGATTCTATTAGAAAAGAATTTTCTAGTATACGAAGCATTGTAGTTTTAATATGATTGTAGGTAAAGAAAGCATTTCTTAAAGAATTAAAATATAGGGATACAGTATGCAGTATTGAGTATAAGAAAATGATTTATGTCATTTTCCTACAATTTTCATAAAGTGTGCAATATATTTATCATTGAATAAGGTAGCAAAAATGAGTGATTAAGAACAAAATGGTCTGAGTAATTAACAAAGTTTTATGAATTACTGTGAAGCTAGTTAAAAACGACCAATATTAGGAAAAGCTGCAAAAAGAGGTGTTGTTGTTGCTGCTGCTGCTGCTGCTGGTTGTTGGTCACCAATACTTTTGAGCAAATTGCCTTGTAACAAACTGTCAAGAGCCTTTTGAACCGTTGGATCATTTAATAATGGCGATGGAGAAACTCCCGTAGTAGTTGTAGAAGTTGTTGATGCTGATGTGGCATTTGTTGATGCTGCTGGCATAACATGATGTGTTCATGAAGTCGGTGGGTACAAGCCCAGACAAAGTATGATTTGAAGTTCGTTCGCTTTGACCACACTGTGCCGCAATTTCACAAAACACCACTTTGCACTTAATTAATTTCAAAGCGTACGAAGTTCGTTCTGATTAAGAACAATCGTAATTGCACGTAAGAACGCGCACGTAATAACTTCTTCAAGAGAAGTATTATTCACGGATAAAAAACGGAAATTGCATAGCAAAAATCCGTATACGCGGTATTAAAATAAAGAGAAGATAAATATTGACGTGTGTCACGCAGGAATTATCTTCCCTAATGTATAAAAAATTTCATAAAGCATTGTGTGCAAGACATGATTTGTACCACAGTACAATAAAGGAAATAGTAGAATCCTTTATAATCATTACAAAAGACTCAGCACAACTGCAGTTTTACTATAAAACAATAACACTAAGCTTATGCTTCAGTGTACTATACTAAATATATAAATTATTAATATAAATTTTTTACAGAAAGCTGTTTATGAAATAATTAAATATTAAAATGAAGAAAATTATAATAAAAAAATAATATAATTTTAATATTTGCTGCTAGCAAAAATTAATGATGGGATATCTATTAGATATTTGATTTAACATTCAATGTTGAACTGTCCTGATTTATTGATACTATCACACCAATAATATCTATATTACAAAAATTATTGGAGTACCAAATAGTGTGTATATAGAATTTAAAGTTTATCAGTGTAATTCTATATCTTTTACCTGTTCCCCAATTAGCTGGAGGGACAGGAGCCGGTGCTGGTGTTGGTGCTGGAACTGGACTGGGTGCTGGTGCTGACGAGTTGCTTTTATTGCTATTCAAAATATTAAGTATTCTCGATTGCAGCTCAGCTTGTTTCGGATCATTAACTGTCAATGTTGTTGCAGCTGGTATGTCTTTTGCATCACCCAACTCTACTTGTACTTGTTCTTCTCTTTTAACTTCGAGATATTTTATAACTCTGTCATATTGTAGTACAGTCAATTGACGATTATCTGCTAACATATTTAAAAGGACTTGGATGGCGTCAGGATGACGCTCGATTGCAAGTGGAGTATTAAGAGGAACTGAACGACCTCCTGCTTTGTAATTAGCAAAATCCCTTGATATTAAATTAATAGCATCTTCAACGGGCATATTTCTGTGCTCTATAAATCAATTAAAATTATACATGTGCAAATATGTACATGCACTTAAGTAACTAAACAATTAACAATTAGTTACCTTGAGGTAAACCATGTAAAATGTTAAGTGTGAGAGAGTGATGTTCCTGGTTAATAGGGGTCACTACCACAGCATATAAACAACCACGACTTGCTATATTACCAAGAACACGGCTCAAAAGAACATCTTCATTCGGAAATAATAGATCTACCGTTAAACCTACTTTCTTCAAACGCATTTCAATGGCTTCTGCATATTCTCTATAATTATATATAATTTGTTATGACATATGTAAAAAATATTCATTAGTAAAAAATATCAACTTACGTTAATGCTTTATTAACTACTATAATTTCACAGTCATTTTTTTCAGCTGCAATTGCTGGATAATCTGTATTTCCAGTGTTTCTAAAAAATATATTTCTGTAAAATGCTATTCTATTTTTAATATCAATATTTTTATAAAAGAATTTTACCCAAAGCTTATATTCATATCTCGCGGGCCAGAATTTTTGAAATCATCATAACGAGAGCTACTATCATTAAAAGAGTCTCTTCCTCCAAAAGTATTGCTACGTAGTCTGTCATTTGGTTTATGATCCCAATCACGGCCAGCTTTATCATCTATACGAGTGCCTCTATTAATGGGACTACGATCTCTAAAATTGTTCCCAGAAGAATTATCTCTATTTTTATTTCTATTTTTTCCACCTCTAGTGCCTCGTAATCTACCACCTCCACCTGGAGTAGTACCTCCTCCACCTCCACTGCCTGAATTTTGATTACCACCAGGTATATTTTGATTACGATTTTGGTTGCCACCCGGCCTATTTTGATTTGTAGCAAGGCCAAACTGATTGTTTCCACCTCTATTCTGATTACCTGGACCAGTACCAAATGGTTCATTTCCACTTCTGTTTTGATTACCAGTACCAAACTGATTGCTGTTTCTATTCTGATTATTATTATTAAATTGATCATTATTATTTCCACGATGTTGGTTCATATTGCCAAATTGATCATTTGTACTATCTCTACTCTGATTTCCATCAATGAATTGACTCGTCATAGAACTGTTTCCTTTTAAATTGCTGCCAAATTGATTATCATTAGCAAGACTCTGGCTCGTATTATTAAACCCTTGACTTCCACTACTAAAGGAGTCATTTGCGTTGTTAAAATGATTGTTTGTGCTACCAAATTGATTATTAGAGCTACCCTGTGGTTTTCCTGGTCCATTGTTAGCATTACCTATACCAGAACCACCTATACTGCCAGAATTATTTATTCCTCCGCTATTACTTCCTCCACCTGCATTATTACTACCAGATTGAGAATCTTTTTTAGCAGGTCTAACATCTATAAAGAAGAATTTACTGATTTAACAGTACTGATTTAACAAGGTTTCAATAATATATTAAAATTTGAATGAGAAAAAATGAAAAGATTTTTCACCTATTCTTCTGCCTTTAAACATTGCTCCATTTTCATTTTGAATAGCTTTCTGAGCAGATTGTTCTTCTTCAAATTGAACAAAACCAAATCCTCGATTTATCAGTGATCCCACAATAGTTCCATATTTTGAAAAGTGTTCTTCTAGTTCATGTTTTGTCATATCATCTGTTTGTAAATGACCTACGAATATACGGCTACTAACGGTAGCAGGATCTTTTAAAAGACGCGCACTCATTTTTAATCAATTTTTTATCTTGTACACAAACACTGTAAACAATTTTAATATATTATGATGTGCTATATCATTTCGATGTCCAACGTTGTAATGGATAATTCGTTAGATGTTCCAAACAATTTGTGACTGTGAGGTTATATCTTAATACGAAAATACTTACGTTATTACAGTTCAGTTATTTATCCCAAATATGCATATGACAAAAATATGATTCAATAAGAAATTTATGGAATTCGTATTAATTTTTCGATTTTGACAATAGTACACACCCATTGAAATCTTATTTTCTCCCAAATATAAACCGCCACTAAACAAATGAGCGCTGTACTTCAACACATCAACGCTACACATAATAAATTTAATTCATAAAAACGACACGGTCAGCTGATGGCGCTGAATCTTATGTTCGGCTTTAAATATGCAACAATATCTATTAATGAGTTTTCTCCAATTAATATTGTTTCTAAAAAGATTTCATATATTTTTGCATATTATTATGTTCTTATTAATATATAAAAAATAAGCATTTCTAAAAATAAAAATCATGAAATTTAATAAAAATTAAAAATCCCAGGTCCCACCGAGATTTGAACTCGGATCGCTGGATTCAGAGTCCAGAGTGCTAACCATTACACCATGGGACCTTGATATTTTTCGTTTTATAAATTGTAGATAGCTTACATTTATTTCCATTTTTTTTATATAGAATACTTTAATTTAATATTAATATATAAAATATATTTATGATTTAATTGGTATTATTGAAATAATATATTTTACTTTCATAAAAAATGTATGGGTATCATATGAGTGCTAAAAAATTGTTAAAAATGAAATAAAATTTAAAAAGAAACTTTGTGTGTTAAATAATATGATAAATTAACGTTAGAATATTTGTAAAATACTACTCAAGTTTTGTAAGAATAATATATAATATTTTGTAAGAACATACGTATAATACAATACATATATTGACAAGTCAGTAATAATAGCACACAAATATATATATATATATATATATATATATATATATATATATATATATATATATATATATATATATGCTATTCATATGTATGCTATTCATATATTATATTCTACTTTGATAACTAAACAAACTTTATATAGAGAAAAATGAATTTTTTACAAGAACTCACTTTTGATTACAATTAACTAAATATTATCTTTTCCTCTTTTAAATTATAAGCAAACATACTGTCACTTTTCATCCCGTATTCATTTGGTTATATTTGATGTTTCAAACTTTGTTACATTGTCATTTTCATTGTCTTGTGTTAATGAATCTTCAGCATTAGTAATAGACTTATTTGAAATTTCAATTTCTTTCTTGTCTATATCTGAATCCTTTATTGTAGAATCCTAAAGAAAATAATTAAACATTATTTATCTGCAAATTATCATTAATATTCATACATAATCATTGATATATAATATACCTTGGCACATGCCATATTTTGCTTTACAGCACAAATTTCAAGTAAGTTGTATTTCCTATATTTATAATAATCAGGTGCAACTGATATTAAACATATACCCCGTATTACTTCTACCACAACAGCAAGTTCTGGATTTTTTAAATTTGCTCTATTTCCTGGATTCTTTTTCTTTATTATTTCTGCTAGGTCATTAATAATTTCTTCTCTATGTATATTGTCATTACTGTGACGACTGAAGAAAAGACTTTTTATTATATTTGTAATAATACTACCAATAATTGCATAAATCTTGATTATCACTGAATAATACTTACTTAAATACAATACTGTAAGTTTTTGGTTCTTGAGAAAAATATTTTTCAAGTATCACACTTGCTGTTGATCTGATATCGTTCATATATGCTTTGCATACAATTTCTATTGGTAAAAGTCTTAATAAAAATCTACTGCGTTGCTGTTTAGTTCTGTCTAATTCTTTGATTATATGACTAACTAATTCTAAAGGATTAGATAATGTACTTTTAATAAAAACTACATTCTTTACACCAGTATGTACAACCTAGCAAAAGTTATATAGTTAGTATATAGATAATGAAAAATTTAATTTCATAGAAAATCTACCTGAAATCTTCTTGAAGCAATTGGTTTCTCAGACTCTGCTTTTAACTGATTAATTTCTTTGCTTAAAGCAGTTGATATATCTTCTTCATCGCTATTATTTTGCTGATTACTTTCAGGAGACTGTATTTCATTTACCATAGAGCCATCATTCGTACATATTGTTGATACCTCAAAAAAAAAAATTATGTAGCATATAGATAACAATTTTCGTAAAAGTTTCAATTACTTTACTCAATAGACCGATATACCTTATCTTTATTTAATCCATAAATTTCATCGGCAAATTCGTTAAGTATTTTATATGCATCTCTTACACAGTCCTTTTCACGAAAATTACACGTGCATAGAAATCCTGTCATGCCTGTTTCTAAAGTAAAGTGTTTACGTTTTTTTTGATTACTTTCCTTATTCGGAAAGTAATATTTTTTTCTTTTTTGCTCCATTTACATAAACAAAATAATTATAACTGTTATAATAAATAGAATATTTTTACAAATTGAAAAGTTCACTTATATATCAATTATGACAACCCGCGTTGTTTTAAGGCTACTTACCATCTTTTGCTGATAGCGTGTGCGACATCAGCGACAGCTATGAATAAAATATAAACTACAAACATAAAAATGAAACGTGCTTCCTATGCCTCTATTATACCAAATAAGTTTATTTACATTATATTCTTTTCGTGCGTAACTAACAACTGAGCCACAATAACAGTATATAAACGGAGTATAAAAAACTAATAAATAATTTAATTTAATATTTCGAATTTTTAACCCGAAGTCATAACTATTATTTAACATCAACAAAAACAGGTTTTTGATTAACTTTCAAACTTTTCAAATTAGTTCTCTTTTACATTTGAACGAGTAAACATTTAAGCTCTCTCATCTTAAAACTGCAAATATAAAATTTAATATTTTCGGTGATTTCAGATTTATTTCAAAAATATAAAAGTACGCGAAGTTCAATAAATTAATAAATAAAAAATAGTACATTCGCTTAAACATTACAAAGATCGTAAGGAGCAAAAAAAAATAATATTAACATCAAATTTCAATACTTAAAAATTTTTATCTCTGCGTACTTGGCCTTGTGAAATATAAACATATTAGGTCTTTTAATTAGCTTTAACAATTACCGTATTAGTCATTTTTTGTATTTCGACGCGTTAGCATCGTAACTCTCTCTTTCTAAATGTGAAAACTAATAAATTAATACTCTCGACATTTTTTTCTAATATTTAAAAAATTTTAATTGCATGCGGAATAAAAAAAATAATATTTAAACAGGTGTACATTCTTTTAAACATTAAATAGACAGTAAACAGCGTAAAACTTAAAATAATTCTAATTTAAAATATCTATACTTTGAAACTTTTTCTCGGGATTGTTGGCCTTCTGCAATATAAACATAAACGGTCCTTCTATTAACTTTGACGATTCGCGAGTTAGTTTCCCTTTGAACTTTTACCAGTGAATATCGGTACTCTTTATTTTTAACCGCGAAAACTTACAAATAAATATTTTCATTAATTTTATAATTACTTAAACAATTTCCAATGTACACGGAGTGCAATAATTAAATATTTCAACAATAGTAGATTCATTTAAATATTAAAAAGACGAAAACACACGAGATAGTTAAAATAATTCTAATTTAAAATTCCTATACTTCAAAATTTTATCTCGGGATTGTTGGCCTTCTGCAATATAAACATAAATTCTCCTTCTATTAACTTTGACGGTTCGCGAGTTAGTTTTCCTTTGCACTCCGACCAGTGAACATCGATACTCTCTATTTCTAATCGCGAGAACTTATAAATTAATATTTTCGTTAATTTTCAATTAATTAAACAGTCTTTAACATACAAGGAGCGCAATAAATAAGTATTTAAACAATAGTAGATTCGTTTAAACATTAAAAAGACGAAAACGCGCGAGATACATAAAATAATTCTAATTTAAAATATCTATACTTTAAAACTTTTTCTCGGGATTGTTGGCCTTCTGCAATATAAACATAAATTCTCCTTCTATTAACTTTGACGGTTCGCGAGTTAGTTTTCCTTTGCACTCCGACCAGTGAACATCGATACTCTCTATTTCTAATCGCGAGAACTTATAAATTAATATTTTCGTTAATTTTCAATTAATTAAACAGTCTTTAACATACAAGGAGCACAATAAATAAGTATTTCAACAATAGTAGATTCATTTAAATATTAAAAAGACGAAAACACACGAGATAGTTAAAATAATTCTAATTTAAAATTCCTATACTTCAAAATTTTATCTCGGGATTGTTGGCCTTCTGCAATATAAACATAAATTCTCCTTCTATTAACTTTGACGGTTCGCGAGTTAGTTTTCCTTTGCACTCCGACCAGTGAACATCGATACTCTCTATTTCTAATCGCGAGAACTTATAAATTAATATTTTCGTTAATTTTCAATTAATTAAACAGTCTTTAACATACAAGGAGCACAATAAATAAGTATTTAAACAATAGTAGATTCGTTTAAACATTAAAAAGACGAAAACGTGCGAGATACATAAAATAATTCTAATTTAAAATATCTATACTTTAAAACTTTTTCTCGGGATTGTTGGCCTTCTGCAATATAAACATAAATTCTCCTTCTATTAACTTTGACGGTTCGCGAGTTAGTTTTCCTTTGCACTTCGACCAGTGAACATCGATACTCTCTATTTCTAATCGCGAGAACTTATAAATTAATATTTTCGTTAATTTTCAATTAATTAAACAGTCTTTAACATACAAGGAGCGCAATAAATAAGTATTTAAACAATAGTAGATTCGTTTAAACATTAAAAAGACGAAAACGCGCGAGATACATAAAATAATTCTAATTTAAAATATCTATACTTTAAAACTTTTTCTCGGGATTGTTGGCCTTCTGCAATATAAACATAAATTCTCCTTCTATTAACTTTGACGGTTCGCGAGTTAGTTTTCCTTTGCACTCCGACCAGTGAACATCGATACTCTCTATTTCTAATCGCGAGAACTTATAAATTAATATTTTCGTTAATTTTCAATTAATTAAACAGTCTTTAACATACAAGGAGCGCAATAAATAAGTATTTAAACAATAGTAGATTCGTTTAAACATTAAAAAGACGAAAACGCGCGAGATACATAAAATAATTCTAATTTAAAATATCTATACTTTAAAACTTTTTCTCGGGATTGTTGGCCTTCTGCAATATAAACATAAATTCTCCTTCTATTAACTTTGACGGTTCGCGAGTTAGTTTTCCTTTGCACTTCGACCAGTGAACATCGATACTCTCTATTTCTAATCGCGAGAACTTATAAATTAATATTTTCGTTAATTTTCAATTAATTAAACAGTCTTTAACATACAAGGAGCACAATAAATAAGTATTTAAACAATAGTAGATTCGTTTAAACATTAAAAAGACGAAAACGTGCGAGATACATAAAATAATTCTAATTTAAAATATCTATACTTTAAAACTTTTTCTCGGGATTGTTGGCCTTCTGCAATATAAACATAAATTCTCCTTCTATTAACTTTGACGGTTCGCGAGTTAGTTTTCCTTTGCACTTCGACCAGTGAACATCGATACTCTCTATTTCTAATCGCGAGAACTTATAAATTAATATTTTCGTTAATTTTCAATTAATTAAACAGTCTTTAACATACAAGGAGCACAATAAATAAGTATTTAAACAATAGTAGATTCGTTTAAACATTAAAAAGACGAAAACGTGCGAGATACATAAAATAATTCTAATTTAAAATATCTATACTTTAAAACTTTTTCTCGGGATTGTTGGCCTTCTGCAATATAAACATAAATTCTCCTTCTATTAACTTTGACGGTTCGCGAGTTAGTTTTCCTTTGCACTTCGACCAGTGAACATCGATACTCTCTATTTCTAATCGCGAGAACTTATAAATTAATATTTTCGTTAATTTTCAATTAATTAAACAGTCTTTAACATACAAGGAGCACAATAAATAAGTATTTAAACAATAGTAGATTCGTTTAAACATTAAAAAGACGAAAACGCGCGAGATACATAAAATAATTCTAATTTAAAATATCTATACTTTAAAACTTTTTCTCGGGATTGTTGGCCTTCTGCAATATAAACATAAATTCTCCTTCTATTAACTTTGACGGTTCGCGAGTTAGTTTTCCTTTGCACTCCGACCAGTGAACATCGATACTCTCTATTTCTAATCGCGAGAACTTATAAATTAATATTTTCGTTAATTTTCAATTAATTAAACAGTCTTTAACATACAAGGAGCGCAATAAATAAGTATTTAAACAATAGTAGATTCGTTTAAACATTAAAAAGACGAAAACGCGCGAGATACATAAAATAATTCTAATTTAAAATATCTATACTTTAAAACTTTTTCTCGGGATTGTTGGCCTTCTGCAATATAAACATAAATTCTCCTTCTATTAACTTTGACGGTTCGCGAGTTAGTTTTCCTTTGCACTCCGACCAGTGAACATCGATACTCTCTATTTCTAATCGCGAGAACTTATAAATTAATATTTTCGTTAATTTTCAATTAATTAAACAGTCTTTAACATACAAGGAGCACAATAAATAAGTATTTCAACAATAGTAGATTCATTTAAATATTAAAAAGACGAAAACACACGAGATAGTTAAAATAATTCTAATTTAAAATTCCTATACTTCAAAATTTTATCTCGGGATTGTTGGCCTTCTGCAATATAAACATAAATTCTCCTTCTATTAACTTTGACGGTTCGCGAGTTAGTTTTCCTTTGCACTCCGACCAGTGAACATCGATACTCTCTATTTCTAATCGCGAGAACTTATAAATTAATATTTTCGTTAATTTTCAATTAATTAAACAGTCTTTAACATACAAGGAGCACAATAAATAAGTATTTAAACAATAGTAGATTCGTTTAAACATTAAAAAGACGAAAACGTGCGAGATACATAAAATAATTCTAATTTAAAATATCTATACTTTAAAACTTTTTCTCGGGATTGTTGGCCTTCTGCAATATAAACATAAATTCTCCTTCTATTAACTTTGACGGTTCGCGAGTTAGTTTTCCTTTGCACTTCGACCAGTGAACATCGATACTCTCTATTTCTAATCGCGAGAACTTATAAATTAATATTTTCGTTAATTTTCAATTAATTAAACAGTCTTTAACATACAAGGAGCGCAATAAATAAGTATTTAAACAATAGTAGATTCGTTTAAACATTAAAAAGACGAAAACGCGCGAGATACATAAAATAATTCTAATTTAAAATATCTATACTTTAAAACTTTTTCTCGGGATTGTTGGCCTTCTGCAATATAAACATAAATTCTCCTTCTATTAACTTTGACGGTTCGCGAGTTAGTTTTCCTTTGCACTCCGACCAGTGAACATCGATACTCTCTATTTCTAATCGCGAGAACTTATAAATTAATATTTTCGTTAATTTTCAATTAATTAAACAGTCTTTAACATACAAGGAGCGCAATAAATAAGTATTTAAACAATAGTAGATTCGTTTAAACATTAAAAAGACGAAAACGCGCGAGA